CCTCCATTCTCCTCTCAGGATCTTGGGTACGCATGCACACGTGCCCGGCGTGAGTTTTAAGCCACCAGGTCCGGTACACAAAGCACGGTCGACTACATGGGAGTCCAGCGACATAGCCATTACGCTAACTGCTGGTCCCAAGAGTTCTTTCTTATGATCCAAGGGATGGAAAACCATTATCCAGTCTATGTGGCTACAAAAACCTTCACTAGAGGCGCAGGACTGGCTTGTGCTATTCCTCCTCCTAACTCTTCCTCATCTAAATAAGCAGCCTCAGACAGCAAAGTAAAGCAAGGCTCTGGATGTTCGAGGTCTTTATTTACTATGTGTGTAGGTCACGAAAAAGCAGAAAATGTGTCAAGCTTCTGAAAATGAAAAGGACTTTTTGAGAGAAAATTCTGAGCCCAACATTTGAGGGGGGTCCTTAAATTGAACCCTTATCAGCACTGAGAAGAATTTTATCTCACTGTTTCATTCTTTGAGCCAAAAGGTTAAGTTTTTTATTATTATTATTAATTAATTAATTTATTTATTTATTTTTTTGTTTGAGCCAAAAGGTTAAGGAACTCACAGCCACAAAACAGGGACAGCTCAGTCAGGAAACAATACTCTCGTAGCACCAGAAGGAAACAGGGCCCACCTGGAAAGGAGAACTCTTCTCAAACCACTCTTACCAACAAGCAATCAAGCTTTTAAACGTCCTGAATCCAGCTTCACCAGGTCAAAGATATAACTGAAGAAAACCTGATGTTAGCCAAGAACCACGGATTTGTAACAGACCGAGACAAAGAGTTGCCACAGTCCCATCTCCACGCAAAGGCCACGCTTAGATCATGGCACTGCTGGGCTGAGGTAAGGTGTCTCTAAAATGCTTTCTCTAAAAATGGAAACAGAAATCGTGTGCTTCAAAGAAATCATCCAGGTTATTCATAGTAAATTTACAACATGATGGAGAAATCACATAGATTTACAAATCGCATTGACTGACAAAATTATGACCCCACTGTGGGCAAGAGACACAAACTTTCTCTCTCCACATGGAGAATACCTGTACAACCAACCATCCACGACACTAAAAGCTGTCAGCAATCAAAGTTCCGTTGCAATTACAGCCAGCAAATAGCCCTGTGAGTGTCCGCCCCAGGTTAGGCTCCTCCTCAGCCTTCTGGTAAGAAACAAGGGAGATGGGTTTAATTTGCAGACACTGGGCAAGACTATCTGCAGTGGTTACCACTCAGCAGCGGCCTCGGGGTTCAGGATCCCGAGAACAGGCACGTCGGTAAGATAGGTGAGGGGAATCAGTGCTGATGGTAGGCCCCCCCCCCCCCGACAGGCCCAGGTCTTTCCATTTTATAAGCGCCTTCCTCCCAGCCCAAATATAAAAGAGGGTAAGTGGCCCCTCACTCTTGTGAGCGTTTCTTCCGGCCAAGTGGAACTGTCCCCAAACTCAGAAATTGCATTACTTTCAGCGAGACAGCTAGAAGTACGACCCGATGCAAACACCTTGTCAGCGAGTAAGACCAAAATAAATACCAGAGTGGGGATTTATTTTTTTCAAGAGAGACTTCTGCTATAGAGTGCATGTGCTAGCCAGAGAGAAAGAGACAGAAAGTGAGAAATCAAACCCCCCCCCCAGG